CTGGCGAGACGGTACGACGTCGATATATCGGACTTATGGAAGCGGAAAGAGCCTTCGGTCGTGCGATCGTCGACTTCCAACCCTCGTGCAGGCCGGTCGCCGAATTCAGCGGCGCAATCCGACACTATCGACCATGCATCAGGATCGATACCTGCATCTTATCCTCGGGCAGGTTACGGTAGTGGAGGCGCTCATGGCACCTCTTTCCATCCCGAAGCTTCCATGTTCGACGACAGTTACCACATGATGAGGTGAGATGATGCCACCTGCGGTCTAGCCATACCTTCGAACAGCAAGGAGCGTTGGTGGATGCAGAGAAGATGAAGTAGTGTAGAGGAGGGTCCTGATTCTGAGATCCGTCGACGAGCTATCGCATCGTTAGTAGCGATGGCGGATGCGACGTGATGCGAAGTAAACACGGACGCAGGAGGCAGGCGCAGACCGGACAGCATAGATAAGTAAGCACATACAGGTATTGAATCCTACATTGAGATCCCCATGTACCTCCGCAAGCGAAGCTTCGATTCGAATATTGGCGGCATTGGGCCCCGAACCGAAGAGGGAGGAAGGGTCCGCCCTCACCCTGGCGTTGGCGAGTGTTGGTCACCGCGGAGGGTACAACAAAGCCTCGCGACGTACGAGCTTGCCCTACATTGGTTGATACTGCAGCCGGCAGTTACGCGGAGAGCATTTCCGACGCAATCACGAATCCTTTGGTGATACTCTGACTCGGACGCGCATAACCACAAAAGGGCAGAACTCCTCTCGGAGCCTCATCCAGTCCTTAATTGCTATTGCTAGTGACGTATTTGCTACCAGATACATAGTATCGCCATGGATGCGAGTAATTCGAAAGACAGCTAAAGACGCAGGGGCGGCGTATTCGCCCATGAAAGCATAGTGGTGATAGGAAGGAAGGTGCGCTGCGCGTCGCATGAGTCCTGCACAGCTGCTCCAGCTCGAACTCCGTTCTTCGGAGTATCTTCAATTGCAACGCGGAAACCTAGCTTATAACGTGAGCGACGACTGCTCTGGTAGGAGAATTAGACAAGTGAATGTTTGTGCTTGAGTCTCGCATTGCCCGATCGCGACACTGTCTTTGCACAGCCAGCTCCTCGTACCACAGAAGCTGTTCCATTTGTGCCGACGCAGTGATTGCTGCCCGAAGCAGAGCGCGCGTATCGCGCGTATTCGTGGCGCTACTCTTGCATTCCTGATGCCCAAGTTTGGCAGGCAAAAGGCAAAAGTCTTGCAAGCGTGGAGTGGGTATGGTGTGTCGGCCCACCCAGAGGATCGTTCGGCATGCGGCATGCGGCAGCTACGGCAGTGAGTAATTGTGGACTTGCGAGCGGAGTGACGCAAATGCAGGTAGCGTCTTCATTGCTCGACCGTGAATTTGTTGCTGTTAGGTCTCGTCCAAAGGACCACGAGGCAGACATTGCGCTGGGTGAAATCGTGACCTGCTGCCTAGTTCTGCCTGCTCGTACCATTGGGTGAGGGACCCTTTGCCGGAGTTCGCCCGCTGCTGAGCGGACGTGCGCGGTCACATGACTCTAGCGCGCCAAGATTCTAGCGCGGCCCTCGCCAGTATATAATCTACCGGCCCCTCGTCCTCCTTTCTCTTCTGCATCCAAGTGCTCGGGCTTTACGCTTACCAGTGAGGATTCGTCCGAGGTAGCGTTTTTGCTAGTTGAAAACTACAACTATGACCGCTCCAGTTGGTCTTCGGATCGGCTGGGAATTTTTGACACCCATTGCTAGCTTTGCGCTGCTTTTCGTTGATCTTTGCGGCTTGCCGCTCAATCGAAGAAGAGTTTGTCAGCGCCTCCACCATGACTCCTGCAACGTCCTGCCCCCTATGTCTGACTGCGTGGACTGCCTGCACTAACACCGCATCTCGCCGTCACCTCACTGCTAGAATTACCACCGACTCACGCGCCCTCTGTGACCTCGCCAGGAGCGCACTCTTACCCATCGCAAATACTGCGCCATCTTAAACACCACAAGTGATCAACTCCAACGCTGTTTACTCCCCGCCACATCTCTCCGCTTTCCGTACGTCGCAAGCGCTCGCCGCTCGTCGCCTTCGAAGAGGTTGGCCGCTTCTCGTTCACGAGTTTCCTGTTGCATGTCATCACGGCTGTGCGACACGCTTCACACCTCACACGGTGCTTATTTGCACTCATACGGTCTACACGATGAAGGCGATGAAGAGCGTAGATCAGCGTTGTCTAGGACGATGCAGTCCACGGGTGCCTACTGTCGGTATGTGACCGGCTTTGCTTTCGCTTCGCGCTTGGTGCCGAAAAGTATAAATTACGCGTCGCATCGACCGATGCTACCACATGATGATCTCCCAGACGGCTCTCCACTATATCCCCTGGACCCCGCGTAAAGCACCGAGCTCCCCTTGGATCTACGTGGTAGATCCATGCCGTGCGCGTTGGATCGCCGACAACATTGTCCCCATTCAAGACACCATGCTTTCTAGCAGGTCGCATGAGGCGCGTCAACGTTGCTTTCGTTCTCAGGCAGGAACGCTTCTTGGCTCCTGCGACAGCTCCCTTTCCGCTACGCATGAGATCTATGCAGTCAATCTCGACATGGATGGATTTGTCGCTGATTCCAAAGACCGCGTTTGACAGGACCAAGGGAAGAGGGCCACTCCGGTAGATCAAACCAATAACGGTCATCCTCGAAACAACAAGACCATCGTCACTGTTCAATACAGCAACTGTCAGTAATTGCATGACTGGTCTAAACCCTCGGCAATTCTGTCCTAGGGAAACTTCATTGGCACATCCCAGGCGTCCCGCCGCCTAGAGAGAGACAGTACACAAACTTTAAGGCCGACCATGACTATAGACGAGGCTGGAGCTTCGTAAAGTTGCTTCACCACAAGGAGATTTGGCTCTGCATTCGCTTACAAGTCTGGTCACATCGATATTGGCATTCCTCTCGCTCAACGCATTCTGAGTCATAAGCGTCAGAACCGACACGCTATTGTCAGAAGATGCAGAGAAGGTTGTAAACAGACAGAGTGCGCAATCCGACCCAACCTGCGTCTGAGGCCGGCATGTACCGAACCCTACACCACCACGTGTGACTCGGACGTGAAATCGAGCAGCCGGGGATCAGCCGCGGTCGCCCCTAGTCGAAAAGCAGGACGAGATCTCGAATTCCGCCGTTAGCGGCATGGTACGGGCCTTATCGGTGTGCCACAACAAGGTTAGTCTCCTATCAATCAACTCTATTCTCATCAAATCTACCAAGATTGTGTGAGAAAGCCACGAAATGCCTGGAGAAAACGTTATATGGTGGAGAGCGCGCCGATGGTCTTAGGTCCGTTTCAGACCCGTAAGATAGTCCCCAAGGTTTCGGTGCACGGTCTGCGTTCGGCTAGATCTGCAGCAAGGTCATTAGTCTTGCGCCATACCGTCCGAGCTGCTACACTTCGAGCACGCAACATGCAGGTACGCGGGCTTGATGGGCCAACCACAGCCCCTCACACAATGTTCGCGCGCGACAGACTCCTCCACCACACGCCACATGACATCTTCGCAGTGTTCGACGTCGTGCAGACGGCCCTCCTGCTTCCAAACAAAACTGTCAAAAGCGGCATCTAGTTATTGACATGCGACATCAACAGTTCCGCTGCGCCCTGGCCTCAGCCATGCAACATTTAAGCTAACCTAACCCGGTGACTTGCTAACCGTGGCTGCCACGAGTTGGCCCTAAGGGTATAGTTGCGACATTATACCCCCTTCCTCGACTATTTCTGCCTTTCTGCTACCAAACCTGGAGCCTCGCCAGTCGCCACAAGGCAGCATTAGGTCAATGCGCCATGCGATCTGCGCACCGCGACTATCGTACGTATGAGACGGTCGTTTTTGCAGGAACGTGCCCATGGTGTGGAGAGTCTTGTCGATATTGGTCCCCTTCGCGCTTCCAAATGCAGCATGAACGTCGGGAACCTGCGTCTCACTCAAGTCCCCGGGGGCCATTGTCGTCCGACTTTCCTTACCAATGAGCGCTTTTTCTTCTTGAAATATACCGAGCCATCTTTCTACCACTGGCTGTTGTTCAACTTTGTACTGCGGTACCGACCTCGCACCGCATCTCCTATCCCGATCAGCTTTTGAACATCACAATTACCACCTTCTCCGGATCAGCCATTATGGGTGCTTGAACCATGCGCATCTTCGCAGGTCTACCACTCCGACTCCCTTATATTTACAGTTCTACGCACTCTTCTTTCTAGTAGTACGGTCAATATGAATTCGAGTAGCATTACGCCCGCTGGTACCCGGGTTAATATCATTGTACTTGCTTTCACACTTGTTTCTGGCTTGGTGGTGTTTCTACGACTTTTTACACGACTGGTAATATCCAAGGGAGCTGGGCCTGAAGATGCATGCATCGTATTTGCTATGGTAAGCGAACCCGATTGCACAGCGTACATCTTTTGCTGACAACCAACAGGTTCTTGCCATCGCACTTGCTGTGCTGACGGCAGAGCAAGTAATGAATGGCCTTGGAGAGCACGGTGTGCGAATTGAAGACGACAAGCTAGATAGATTGCAGATTGTAAGTCCAGAAAAGCTATTGTTCTCCAGCGGTATACTTGGATATCCCGGCTCATGTGTTACGAGGTGCCTGACCAGAGCACATTTTACGGTCGTCAAGACATGGAGTGATGCAGATGCGTCACCTATATGTACCGAGGAGCTTCTACCTTTCATCACTTATCTGTATTGCGACTAACAATCACGCAGTCATTCTGGGCGAGTGTCTGGGTCTACAACCTCACACTCACTGTGACAAAGATATCCATTCTTGTACAGTATCTCCGCATCTTTCCCGTACGAAACTTCCGAATCGCATGCTTCGCTGTCTTGGGTGTTGTCATAGCCTACGGAGGCTGGGCGACCTTCTCGAGTGTGTTCATCTGCAGTCCCGTCGCCTTTGCATGGGACAAGTCCATCGGGAACGGACGCTGCATGAACCAGCTCGTCATATGGGTCACGAATGCTGGTGTCAACATTGCGCAAGACGTAGTCATCTTCCTCATGCCATTGTCCATCGTTCGGGCCCTTCAAATACCCAAATCACAGAAGGAAGGCTTAGTGGGCATGTTCGTGCTGGGCGCTAGGTAAGGCAATTCAGGCACTTCCGGGTATCATCAATGCTAACGGACCAACAGCGGCACCATGGTCTCCATCATCCGACTGTATACCTTGGATGACATCGCCAACTCGACCGATGTTTCGTTCGACAACAAAGATCACGCGACACTATCTGCGGTCGAGGTGAATGTAGGAATCATTTGTGCTTGTCTACCAGCTATGCGACCGCTCTACGCTCTGATAGCACCGCATTACTTCTCGACGGCGACACAATACACCGACCAGAGAGGCTTCGATATCGAGCGCCAAAAGCCTGGAGCTGGCCCACGAGCGAGCGTCCGGCCTGGTACCGCGGCTGCGAGGACCAGACCCAACACGGCACGAACGACCATGACTCGTCCTCCAACCGCCACTACAAGAACACCCAACACGGCTAGGAATACTATCATTCGACCCAACACTGCTACCACATTGACGAGACCCAGCACACGGTCATCGTCGCGGCCAAGCACCTCGCAAGCCATGAAGCTCGAGACATACACTCCGCCGCGGGCAGATTCGGTCCAAAGCGATATAGTGCCCCTTCAGCCACTTCCAGCGACGCTGGCCCGGACCGCAAGCGGCCGCTTCTCCATCACGAACAGCCGCCCAACGACAATCCGCATGCATAGCTACAACAACCACTCCCGCAACGCAAGCACTAGTTCTGGACGAAGCACACAGAGCACACCACGAGGACGGTCTGCTACCCGTTTCCAAGGAAGCATTGATCCTCTCCGCATGTCGCCTGTCACACCCTTCAGCCCACCCTTCCCCGCCCCTCTACGAACCGTTTCACCGTTGGCACTGGGTCCCAATGCTCGGCAATCAAGCAGTCAGCGGACGCCATCACCACTGCCACCACGGACGCCTGTGCCGGGACAAGATAAACAGCTCCCTCTTACGCCTTTTCCCGTTGGATCCGCAGACTGAACGGGACTTTAGATGAACTTTGCGCCTTCCAGAACAACCTACGATTCATCACACCTAAACAACACACTCGTTACCCAAACACAAAGCCACAGGACATGTCCCTTCCATTAGCTAATGCTACGATGAAGATACGACTCATGCCGTTCTCATGACCCGGAGCAGACTTACTCCAGTCCAACAAATGCAACGGCTCCAACGCCGGTTGTATCAAAGTCGCTCTCGACTACGACGACATGTCACCGCCACACTCGTTATACCACCACATCACCGATGATGACCACGATGGCCGCACACGTGCTGAGACCAGATCATTGGAGAGACACAAAGGCCGCCTCGGGCGCGGGTAATGGTCTCGTCAATACCGCGCCCACAAAGGATCCCGGCCCCTTACTTAATATACCATTGCCACACCACGCTAGACGAAACCTCGAAACGACACGTTTGTCTACTTTCCGCGCGTACATTGTACGCATCACGTCTTTTACTTCAAGCTCGCTTTAGACTTGTTGTCTTGCATTTTTACATCAGTCGTTCCTTCTCTAGAGCTATTTCTGTCATACTTCCTCTCTTTTACGCTCAGAATATGTAATATCTAATCACTGGTGTCTGTACTCATCGCATAATCTTCTTAACTACATTCTACTTTGCGTACAGCCGCGATTATGGAAGGAGGAGCATGGAAGCAAAGAAGATTAGATGATAATGTAATACCCAGGTAGCAGGAATTATATGGATTGTTATATTCATCAATACACAAAGACATTGAATGCACAGGCTTCAACAATCAGAATGTGCGGCTTGTGGATGTAGCAGAATACTGCTCCCTGAAACGACAGTTGCGGATGCCATTCGATATCTAAACATCAACCCAATAATACCCATCTGTACAATATAGTATGCTCCAGAACGCCAAACAGGAACACGTCTCGCACGTGGAGCAATCATCTGAACTTGCTGTAAATGACAGCAATAATAAGCAGCACCAACACGGTAATGATAGCAATCGTGATGATGCGGTTCGTAGCCATCCTGCGCAAAACCTCGTTAGCACTCCCTCTCTCGAAGATCAAAAGGGCATCCATCTAGACTCCATATCAACCGGAGTTTGGGTGATACACAGAAGAAGAAGAAGCGGGAAAACATACCGTCTCGCCATACCCCTCAACGTCTTAATACTCCGATCGGTATAACTCTCACTTTCCAGCAGCCTCTCCCTTGTATTCGTAATCTGCTCCCTCTGCCTATGAAGATCGCTCAGTGTGCCCGCGCCAATCTGCTCCGTCTCGAGCGCGATGCGCTGGCTCTCCCTCAGCCGGCCACTCGACCTGTTCAGGCGATCGGTTCCGGAGAGGAGTTGCTGGCGCTGCTCGAGCTGCGCATCGCCGCCTTCGGGGTTGTCGGTGTAGCGGTCGCCGAAGAGCTTGGCCTTGTCTGTCGTGTAGGTTTCTAGCTTGCGCTTGTGCGTGTCGAGGTCGTGTTCGAAGTTGCGGAAGCGCGCGTTGTATTTCGACTTGAGGTTGGCGGGGATGTTGGACTTTTCGAGGCGCATTTGGCCGATCTGGTGGGCGTGTGGGTTAGCAGCGTGGTCTTGTACATGGTGTTGGTGTTGTGGTGGTGCCTGTCGCATGCGCAACAGGTGTGTTCAGGCGGCGACTCACCAGCTCTTCGGCTTCTTCCAGCGCGCGCTCTGCCCTGCTGATAGCGGCTTTTCGGGGCTCTCCGCTGGTCTCTTTGATCTGCTCTATTTGCTGGCTGAGGTCGGCCTGCACCAGCTTCAACTCGGCTTCGTAGCCGCTAAAGCGCTCGGTGCCTGCATCGGCGTCGATAAGGTTGGACATGGCGGCGGTGAAGTCTGGATTGCGCAGTATAGGATTCGGTGATTGTGAAGGGCTAATGTCCTTGGGGTGTGAATGGCGGCCTGGGCTGGATGTGGTCGTGAATGCAGCGTCGAGCCTGGAGTCCGGAGCTCATGAGGCGCATTACGCACTTGCCAAGGTCATCCCTGCCGTGTCACGTGTGCCACTCCCCTTCTGGATCTGGGGAACCTCAAGCGGCGGGGCCACCTATCGTCCTTTACAGCTTTCACGTCGTTACTCCTGCTTGATACGACGAAGACTCTCCTGTTGCAGCTTGCCAGCACAACGCATCATTCAACGCGAGCGTCGTTGATGCCGAATTCGGAATTACGCAATGTGTAGCTCTGGCCCCTCGACAGCCACCTGCATATCAGCCGCGTCGTATAGTTCCTGACTGTCTCATGTATTCCACATGGAAGCAATGCAAAGATGCAGAGTCGACTCCACAATAATGCTGATAATACCATGGGTCCCGGTTTGCGGTGTCCACAAGAGAGCGGGTCTGGAACGCAGGGCCAAGTGACTGTATAATGCCGCGGACCTCTTCCTGCGTTCAGAACACGCAGTTGAGAGTTCACGATACTTGCAATGCCTACATTTCGAGCGTACGTACCTTCCCTCGACACTAGTCATGCGCCGACTGAAACGGCATTCGCTTCAAATCGATGACATCATGACTCGCATCTTTGCAGCAGCAGCTTTCCTTTGCTCAATTTCTTTCGTCACTCTGGTGCGTCAACTCCAACCGTGTACCTGGCTGTTAGTATCCTCGCCATAATCACGCGCTAGTTGATCATGTCCGGAAAGATGGACAAGAAGCGCATAGCTATCGTCGGCAGTGGCATATCTGGCCTGAGCGCCCTCTACGCACTTCGCAATACCCAGCATGAAGTGCATCTTTTCGAGAAAGAGGAACGTCTTGGCGGTCATACAAACACCGTGCCGTGGACACACAATGGCAAGAGCACGCCGGTGGATACGGGCTTCATCGTCCTCAACACCGCTACATACCGTTCGTCTCCTATCGAAATCACATGTCTACATAGATTCAAATCTAACAAATGTCCAGCAAACTTCATCAAATTCCTCTCAGCATTGCGTGTCAAGACCGTCGCGTCAGAGATGACCTTTGGCATATCTCGCGATGCTGGTGCTTTTGAATGGTCTGGCACGTCGGGTAGCTCGCTCTTCGCGCAGCCCTCTAATGCGCTCAAGCTCTCCTTCTGGCGCATGATATTCGACATTATCCGGTTCAATCAGTTTGCCTTAGATCTTCTAGCCATCCCACCAGGCTCGCCTGCCGCTGTCGCCGCTACAGAAATGAGCATTGGTGAGTATCTTGAAAGAGAAGGGTACTCAGATGCGTTCAGAGATGACTACCTCATTCCAATGACGGCGTGTGTATGGAGTACGGGCGCGGATAAATGCGCTTTGGAGTTTCCAGCATTGACGTTGGTACGGTTCATGTGGAACCACCACCTGCTTAGTACCATAGCAGAGAGACCGCCTTGGTTGACTGTTGAAGGAGGATCTAGCAAGTACATAGATGCGGTCCTGGATCTGGCTGGCAATTGCGAGGGCCATCTTGGAACGCCTGTTCTGGCGGCGACAAGGAAAGGCGGGAAAGTCGAATTGAGGCTGGGCGGAAGAGGAGAGGGCCAGACGGAGGCTTTTGACGAAGTAGTGCTTGCTTGTCATGGAGATCAGGCGAGGTGGATGCTGGGTGACGAGGCGACAGCAACGGAGAAGGACATCCTGGATGCATTCGAAACTACACCAAACACAGCATACCTGCACTCGGATCTTTCAGTGAGTCTTAGATACTTTAGAACTACTCAGCTATTGCTAACAGCACCCAGCTCATGCCTCAACGACGCACAGCATGGTCCGCCTGGAACTACCTCACCACCTCCAAGCAGAAAACACCATCATCCGCAAACCTGATTACTTCTTCCGGTGCCCTACAGACCGTTTGCCTAACCTACGACATGAACACTTTGCAGCACATCCCGCGTGACGTCTACAAGAACGTGCTCGTCACTCTCAACCCACCACATCCTCCCTCTCCTGCCCTCACCCAGGCAACATACCAATACCGACATCCGCTTTACAATTCGCGCATGGTATTTGCACAAGACCGTCTCCACGAAATCCAAGGAAAGCAAGGTATCTGGTACGCTGGCGCATGGACAGGATATGGTTTTCATGAAGACGGGTGCCGGAGTGGATTGCAGGTTGGAGAGGCTTTAGGAGGCGACGCCGGCTGGGAAGTAATAGATGCCAAGTTCATGAGGGGAAGGAAACCAGTCCTGGAGTGGAAAGATCAGGTTGTGAGGATAGTCATCATGTTGGTGCAGATGTGGGTCAGCATATTGGAAGGATTCGCAGGGGTGAAGAGACAAAAGGGTATGGCATTGAAGGCAAATGGGAAGAAGCAGCTATAGCCCTGGTACCAACCAAACCCCAAACGTAGTAATCTCTCCTCTTCTCGGTCTACCACCCGACCTCATCTATCGTTGTCCGCTCAACTCTCTCAACCCACCCACTAGCGACGGCGTAATACAAGCTTCCTCGGCTCAGGCGTCAGCAGACCATCAGGCGCATCTGACAGATCCTCCGATAGCGGGCTGGTGAAGCGAGCCTGGTACTCAGCGGTAGTATCTCGCTTGCGCTTCTTCTGGGGACTGAGGTCAAAAGTGACAGTCTTCTTGCGCTTTTGGCTGGTACCCATGCTCCTCGCCGGCCGCAACGGAGTGGTGAAAGCGATGTCTTGCTGAGGAGTCACTGGGCGCGGCATCGGCTCTGGTGAACTCGGTGGGATCCAGACATAGCCGATTGGGAGGCCACCCCTGAGCTCCGCGTAGTGTACAAGCGGAGGATTGAACTCGAGTTTGACCTCTTCAGGTGTAGATGTAGGCGCCTCGCTCAGGTTGAAGTAGGCGGGAACGTGGTAGGGATCGCCCTCCGTAGGCTCCAGGAAGGTGTCATCCTGGGCCGAAGGACAGATCTCGAAGGTTTCGTAGTCGGCAATTGGCTTTTTGACATAGCCGGCGTACGCCGTGAACTTGGTGACGACCTCCCCGGGGGTGGGATGGTAGTTGATCTTGTCATTGGCTGGGCGCTTGTATTTGCCCTGGTTGGTCATGTTGAAGGAATTCTCGAGCAATTCCTAGATGTAGTTGTTAGTAGAGTGTGCTGTACAATATCCGTAGAGATTGTGTGTGAGGATGAGGTCGAGCAAGAGAAACTTCCCATGCGAAAAGTTTTCTCAAGGCTACAGACTCGATGAGTGGTGATGGTGATAGGTGAAGCATGCTGCTTGTGTCTTCGATTTCGTGAAGTGAAGGTGAAAGACATACCTATCAACATAGACCCATCCTTGAAGCCTTACATTGAACGCTCACTGCCTGCAGAGTTCCTCCTGACATGGCCTGGTCGCCACATGATTTGCTCTTGCCATTCTGTAGAGGCACTGTGACCGCTTCGCGTGATGGAAGATGTTCGTGCCCGAGTCTTCGCATCGATATGTCTTTTGATATCGTTATCCCATCTGAGATACTGCTGAAAAGCAGTGATGACGTGAGGCGACATGATAGGCATTTGGTGCTGTGTTCAATAGATGGATAAACGGAATGTATACGGCGAGGGAAAGTAATGGTATACGGCACTCTCAAAGAGGGAACTACGGACTATATGGTACGAGGACGCGGCTCCGGGTTCACGCTCCACTCCAGACAGCACACCGCTATGGGGTAGACAACACCAAGCGGTCTAGCAAAGGGAATTACATCCAAGTCTAGCCTTGTCAACAGCCTCAACGATCGCGCACGCATGATAAGAGTCATTCCATGGAACCAGCTCTGCGCGTGGAGCTCCAGCTGCAGACCCAATGTGAGACATAAGCGTTTGCATCCTACGTGCAGCGCCTTGGACTTTGCAGAACAGTGATTGGTGCGGTCCTGCATTCAGATCTCCGTTACTGCGGGTTTGCACGTCAAGCGAACGATCGTGATGGGAAATGAGGCTCAAGCGGTGTGTCTGATGGTTGAGCTGACACGTGTCTGCGAAGTGACCATGCCGCTTTGGGACGCGCGCGACAGGCATTGTGGCGCGAGGCTTGCTATCGCGCACCTGTCACCTACCATCGCGCAACAAACTTGGTTCAGGGGCGTCGTCGCTGTACATGTCACCCACGCTGTCTGTGGGGGTATCCGCGGCCGTATACCTTCCGCGTAATGCGCGACACGCCCTCTGCGCTACGCCCACGGACGCTTCACGCGCCGATCGAGTACCAGCACCTCGCGCCAGTCCCCGATAGCCATTCTCTCAGCTGCCCAACGCGCATACCTTGTGGGTTTCCGGCTCAAGAGCAGCAGCCTCGATCGGAGAAAAGAAGAGCTACACACTACACGGTCGTTATGGGTGATGCCCCGCATACCAATATACCTGATGGCACGGCCTGTGGGGTCAATCCGGTTATGCGGACAACCATGGCGGAGCTTGCTTCCATCCCAAGTTACAGACGGCTACATACAACACCTTTGAATTCTTTCGAAGTATGACGTGAGAAAGTTTTCCGGCTTATGTATCGCCCTTACCGTGCCTTGTCTTCTTCCAGTCTCAGCGGGCCTGGGTTTCCTTCCCGGGCGCGATAAAATACTGCAACACAAGGATTGGCACCCCCGGGCGTCCATCAAGCGACCGTTGGACGATATGCAAGACAGTGAGGGGTCTCATTCTACCACAATGGATTGTTACCTGCCCCGCGAAACCGAAGTCGTTCTGCGCACCTCGTCGCTTGGTACGTAGCTCGGTATGTCAAAGTGAGCGGACTTTATCACGTATACATCGTCCCCGAATACGTTCATACTATCAACCGTCGAATAGCAAGGACCTGAGCAATCAGTGAACTTTGCGTCTCTTGATCGACGTCCAATAGAAGAGGTCTGGAGATTGACTGCAATGTGTGCCACAAAGCCCAT